AACTTAGCTTGCGATAAATCTTTAAGTGGTAGCTTTGGTGTAGTGTACCTTAATTTATTATTGAGTAACTGATAGCTTAGCTCACTACACTGGACAAGTAGCTTGCCCAACACTGTAAGATACAGCTGTGATCTATCAAGGAAGATTGCTTGGTTTGATGTGTGCATGGTTTCACAAATCTAAATTTTTTTTGCATACTTTCACCTTTGGGGTTTGCAGACATTTTAAGTATGGATCCCACGCAATCCTTGATAAATGAGACCCTTAGTCCGAGCTTTAGACTAGGCCGCTCCCAGATCTTAACTTGCTGGTGTGGCTTAGATCATTATCCTCCTGCAGAACTTGCTTTCAGCCTGAGGTCACCAGCAGATGGAATTCCTGGTTCCATTTAACACAGCAGGTCTTTCAAGTCCAGATGCACCAAAACATCCCAGACCTTCAAACTACCAACCGCTATATTTTACTGTTGGTATGTTTACTTGAGCTGTGAAATGGGACATACACGCTCTAAAAAGTTCCACCTCATGTCTCATTGTCAAAGAAATAGAATTGGACAGATGTGTTTTGGAAAAAAACGAAATATGACTTCATTTGTTTTTTGTTTGTTGTTGTTTCTTCCTCTTGGATTTCTGCCATGTTTCCATTTTTGCCTAATCACTCTGTGTGGGCATTAAGTGCAGTTCTTCGGATGATGTGGTGGGATCTTTGCAACTTCTTAAATACATCATTGTCGCACTCTTGGGTTAATTTTGTGCAGCCAACCGCTCTTGGGAAGGTTTCACACAATTCCATTTCATCAACTTTTCTGGATAATGCCTCTCACTGTGCTTTGCTGGAGTTCTAACGCTTTAGAATAGGCCTTGCAGCTCTTATTACTTTCCTCCTCATTCCTTTCTGATTTTTTTTTTTTGGATCATGGCATGTCTGGCTTTAGAGGTTATTTTGGTTGCTTCTCTTAGTCAAGTCATAATTAGGTGATTTCCTGATTAAGAACATGTGTTATTTCAATCAGGCCTGGGCATGGCTAGAGAAAGTGAATAAAAAAAAAGTGATAAAACAAGTAAGTCAGGGCTCGATGTTAACCATCGCCCGATCGCCCGGGGCAAGTCGTTTTTATTGTTGGGAGAGGCGGGCAAATGCAATGATCGCAAAACAAAATGATTTATCACTCAAAATTACTTTAAAATCACCGACATTCGCTGAAAACAACCCAGAAGCGTTGTTGGCGCCATTTTTGTTGTTTTGTACACATTCTCGCGTGATTTGAAAAAGCCGCGTGATTTTCCGCCAGATGGTGTGATTTTTGTCCACCTAGCGTTTAATTTTGATGTAGTTACCAAAACAACAAACATGAGAGAAAGCGGTAGCGTATGGCAGTCTTCTGTACAGTGATGCAGGTCATACATTAAAAATGTTCATTTATGTTTTTCTCTTA